CCTTATGTGCAGCGCGTGGGAGAGCACATATTTAGTGCTGCTTTGTGGCATTGTTTCCAAAGAACTCTTGTTATTGTGGCCAGAAAGGAGTAGCGAACAACTAGAAAATGGTTCACATTAGCATTGGGAAGTGACCGAAGTCTTGTTTCCAGCTTTTATGTTATGTTGTAAAAAAAAATCTTTTAGAAAGAAAATCATCTAGATGTTTATAGTAAGTAGACACTGGCTTAATGTATGCTTGTCTTTTTATGATTTTGCCCCTTGATCAACCATAGTTCTTTTTTTTTCATAATCAGAGACAAAAACAAGCATTTATTCTTTCACAAAATTCTAAAATTGTGTGATTTCCCACTTTATTAGGATGCTGTCACCTTACCATATTTTACCTTGTCTCTGGTGACATTCCCGATATTTTTGTAATAATTGATAACAGAGTGTTTAATTCTGTCAAGGCAACATTTGATAGTCCTGTGTCTTTATGGCTTTGCATATGGATTAATCAAATCTGTCTCAAAGGACTTAACTTATCCCAGCTCTTCCTTTCTTCCTTACACCCTTCTGGCTCCCAATCCTAATACTACGCTGGCTATCAGCATTGTATATGTAACAATAACGTGCAAATAATAATAATAGCCAGGGTTTGTGTTGTGCCAGTCACCTTTTTGAAGCCATTTCTTTGCCTGTTATGTCATTCAATTCTCTTAGCAACATCAAAAATTAAATAATACCATGATCCCACGTTATGAATGAGTAAACCAGGGCTGATAGAGATTAACTATACTTGCCAACTGTATCTTACTGTTTGGCGCCCTTTATATCTTATATTTAGGATGGAACATTAAGCCACTCATAACCAACAAAGTCTAGTTGAAGAACAACTCTACTATTGGGGGAAAACCTAATTGAAAAATACAGTTGATCTTTTCCTGCTGAATGTTCTTCCCTTGTATCACTCCCTACTCAAAATCTTCCATCAACCTGCATATTTTAGAGTTACTGAGAAATGAATAAGTTGGCAAAAATTACAGGAGATTACCAAGATATTGTACAGTAAAAATGACAGATTGTAAATAATGTAAAATAGAAAATGAAAACAAAACATGTTTACAAAATTGTAAACCAGATCTGTGTTTGAGTGTGTGCTTGTGTATATTTGTGCATAAAATCATGGTATTAAATGACTGTATCAAGGTATTATGAATGGCAATGCTTCAGCTTCTAAATATCAGTGTGGATCATCAAAAACCAAAGAAACCAAAGTAATTGGTACTGATAGTTTTGATAAAAGGCATTTGATCAAAAGATTTTATGGAAAGCAATGCCACAAACCAGTTCACTCCTGTAAATGGAGAAACCAAACATCATGTATCTCTAAAAGATAACGTTCAGTAAAGGTTTAGAGATTACCTATTAATTTTCTCTCTGTGATGGCCTCCTCTTCGGTAATTTCCTCTACCACAATTTTTAAATAAGTTTTAAAAAATGTTTATCTGGTAAAAATCCCCTCTTTTCCCCCGTCCTATAGTCTCTTACTACTAGCAAAACTCCCATCTGGCTGTCAAGATCTTTAGCCAGTTTCATAGTTGGTGGCCAGGTGATGATAAGAGGTCAGCAAACCCTTGAATAAAGCCCACTCCTTTATGTTGGTCATTCCATCATTTACCACTTTCCTACATATATCTATTAGCAAGAAACTCAGAAGGTCTGAAATGAGAGCCTCTTGGAGATCACCATGGAAGAGGAAGGCAAAACTAGAAAAAAACAGGGTCCACGTGCACCCATGCCCAGCACCTGCAGGGAGGAAGGAAGGCAACGGCAGAGTGAGGGGATGTCGCCCCTCCATCTTCTTTTTGGCACTTCTCTTCTTGAGATTCACATTTTGTTTATTTTATTTTATGTATTTTCACTGAGATGTTACAAGCTCAAAATCTTGTTTTGAGGAATATTTACTTTTCCTGAACACTCCAAGAACAGGCTTCCTGTTCATTTTGGGATCTCCAGTGTGTCTCTAACCCCAGAAAATTCAACCCCCATACTCAGGAGATTCTTCTTTAACAGAACCAAAGGCTTTTTTTTTTTTTTTTTTGACCGACACCCAAACCTAAAAGTGACATGGAAAGGTTGCGAAGCAGTGTGAGAAGTCCTCTTAAGGGAAGTTGAGGGTGGGGAAGGGGTAAGGAGAGGTGGTAGGAGTGGAAAAGGAGGAGGTCCTAACTCCCCAGAGGTTAAGGAAGGCCTTTTGGGGAGGCAATGCCTTAAAAGAAGCTGGAAGAATGAAGACAATCCTGCCAGGGACACAGGGGGAGAACATGTCCAAACGAATCAGCTTTAGTGCAAACATCAGTCAGGGCTGGTGCAGGGTGGTGGTGGCTGAGAGAAGATGACTCATAAAAGCATATTAATTTTATAAATATGGAAAATTTAATTAAAATGTGAATTGAGTTTGAAGGTTGAACGGGAGTAGGGAGGAGGTAGTTTCTACTTACAGCATTTATATAAGTGTGCTTTAATAGAATGGCTCTTTCGGATGACAATGATGAACTGTTCTAAGTAGACAGCTTAAAGAGTTGTTGCTGATGGGTCACTTTCTCACTTAAAATAACTTTAAGAACAGGTGTTGTTGTACAGTTGTTCCCAGTGACAGAGGTTGAAACAACTAAAATTCCTCAATCCTTTACTCCTTACTAGTGAAGTCAAGGCCACCTATATGCCTTTCGGTTTTCTCAACAATTATACAATCCATGACAACTATTTGCAAAAGGTGGAGAGAGAGAGAGAGAGAGAGAGAGAGAGAGAGAGAGAGAGAGAGAGAGA